GGTACACTCACATGCAGGCAAATACTCATATACATTAAATAAATAAAATTTTTAAAAGAAGACAGAGGCCCTAGAGTGATGGCACAGCAGTTAAGAGCACTGGCTGTTCTCTCAGAGGACCCACATTCAGTTCCCAGTACCCACATGGCTGCTAACAAGTGTCCATAACTCCAGTTCTAGGGGATCCAATGCCCTCCTCTGACCTCCACAGGCATTTCACAATAGGGTGCACATGCAGGCAGTACACTCATACACATAATAAAACAAAATAAGACAGAATTTCACAACCCTTCTCCCTATCATCTGGCTCTTACAGTCTTTCTGCCACCTCTTCCCCTCGCTCTCTGAGACTTAAAGGGATGGTGTGGCTATCTTGTTTAGGACCAAGCACACAGCCATGACTTGTTCTCAGCATCTTGGGCAGTCACGAGTCTCTGCATTCGCCTCCATCCACTGCAAAGATGGGCTTCTCTGATTAAGGTTAAGAGTAGCCTTCTTAAATTAATAGATAATTAAAAGTTGTCTTGCTGTTACGTTAATCTATCTAAGCAGCAATGGTAGGTTACAACCCCCGATCCCAGCCTAAAACACCTCAGACATGGGTTTTTTTGTTGTAATTTTGTTTGAAACATTTTTTTGGTTTTGTTTTGTTTGAGACAGGGTCTCCCTGTAGCCCCAGCTGGCTTGGAATTTACTATGTAGACCAGGCTGGCCTGAATCTCACAGGGATCTGCCTGCCTTTACCTCTTGAGTGCTGAGAATAAAGGTATGTGCCACTGTACCCAGCTGGGCATGGGTTTTTGAGCATCTTTATAGTATTATACATGGATCTTTCTTTTTTAATTTTTATTATTTTTTATTTTATGTGTATTAGTGAATTTCTTGCATGTGTGTAAATGCACCCATGTCGTGCAATGCCCTCAGTGGTCAAAAGAGGGTGTCAAGTCCCCTGGAGCTGGAGTTACAGATGATTGTTATCTACCATGTGCGTGCTGGGAATCAAATCCAGGTCCTCTGCAAGAGCAATCAGTGCTCTTAATCACTGAGCCATCTCTCCAGTCTCTTTTTTTTTTCTCATTTAAAAAAATTTATGTATTTATTTTTATTTGCTGTGTATGAGTGTTTGCCTGTATGTATATAAGAGTACCACATGTGGGCAAACCCTGCAGAGGCCAGAAGAGGGTATTGGATACCCTGGAACTGCAGTTACTAATGGGTGTTAGCTGATGTGTGTGTGCTAGGAACCAAACCTGGGTCTTCTGCAAGGGCAGCCAGTGCTTTTAACCACTGAACCATCTCTCCAGTCCAGATCTTTCTTTTTGAGGCAGGGTCTCTTTTTGGCCTGAAACTCACCAAATAGATTAGAAAAGCTGGCTAGTAAGCCCCAGGGGGCCACCTGACACCACCCCTCAGCACTAGGATTATAAGAACACCTAGCTTTGTCTGTCAGTGTGGATGCATGCATGCCGCAGCATGCAGGTGGAGATCACAGGACAATTTGTGGAAATCAGTTCTCTCCCTCCATCACATGGGTTCCAGGAATCAAATTCAAGTCCTCAACTTTTGCAACAAGTTCCTTTACCTACTGAGTCATATGGCAGGCCCCATACCTGGCTTTCTTTTTTCTTTCTTTCTTTCTTTCTTTCTTTCTTTCTTCTTACATAGGTGCTAGAGATGGAGCTCAGGTCCTCACATTTGCACAGTGAGCACTTTACTGGCTGAGCTACCTCCCCAGCCCTCCTGATTCCCATTTTCCCATTTTCTTTCCCCCATCCCTAGCAATGTCCCTTTGAGTTTCATGTCCTTCTCACTTTGGTTTAGTTTTGGGTCTCACGATGTATAATTTAGGCTGCCTTGGAAACTCACTATGTAGCCCAGACTAGCCTTGAACTTGTGATCTTTCAACCTCAGCCTCTCTGAGCACTGGGATTCCAAAAGCTGACTACCACCCCCCAACTCTGTTTTTTTTCTTTTCTTTTCTTTCTATATTTTTGATTAGTTTTTATTGAATTTTTTCAAATTTTATACAATATATTTTTATTGCTTTTAGATCCCTCCCCCATCTGAACCTCTTCTACTTCTGCTGAATAGATACTGTATTAAACTGACTCCAAATGACTTATTGTCATGCCCATAGATCAATGCATCTCTCAGCTCTCACCAGAGAAGCTTCCTTGTGCAGCAGATGGTGATTAACACAGAAATCCACAATTGGCCAATGGACAGAGAATAAGTTTGAGGACTGCTTATCCCCAAACAGAATATCTATATCAAGCATCTGCCTCCCAAGGCTCAGGGATCACTGCAGAAGAGCAGGCAGAAAGATTGTAAGAGCCAGAGGAGGTGGATGACCACAAGAGGAGTTAGTGTGTGTGTGTGTGTGTGTGTGTGTGTGTGTGTGTGTGTTTTGCCTGCCTGTATGTAAGTGTACCCATGCATGCAATGCCTTTGGAGGCCAGGAGAGGGCGGTGGATCCCTGGAACTAGAGTTACAGACAGTTGTTAGCCACCAGTGGGTGCTGGGACCCAAACCCACGTCCTCTATAAGAGCAGTCAGTGCACTTAACCTCTAAGCCAGCTCTCCGGCCCCTGTTGTGTTTTTGTTTTTAATTTTTAAATGTTCATAGTATATGGTATTGTGTTCTCTAAGGGCAATTTCCCACAAGTACAGAGTGCATGTTGGACATGTGCCTTCCACCCTCCCACCTCTTGCCCTCCCTGTTTCCTTGGTCCTATTTCTTCCTCTTGATAGTTTCAGTTCTGCTTTCATGTCATATATACACAAGTGATGTTATGTATCTAGATAAAATCCAGGAACCACAAATGAGAGACAACATTTGATAGTTGTCTTTTTGAAACTGCCTTACTACACTTGAGTTCAGAGTCTGCAGTGGCATCCATTTCCCTGAAAACAGTAGCTTCATCCTTTATGAAACAGGGTTTCCCTGTAGCCCAGGCTGGTCTGAGCTCATTATGTAGCTTAGGCTGGCCTCCAACTCACAGAGATCCACCGGCCTCTGCCTCCCTGGTGCTGGGATTAAAGGCATGTACTAGTATACCCTGTTGTGTAAAGGTTGTCTTTTATTTTTAAAAAAATGTCAGGGGCTGGAGAGATGGCTAAGTGGTTAAGAGCACTAGCTGCTCTTATGAGGACCCAGGTTTGCTTCCCAACACCACATGACAGCTAACAACTCTCTGTAACTCTGGTTCTAGGTGATCCAATGTCCTCTTCTGGCCCCCTTTGGCATAGTATGACATGGTACACTATCAGAACAGTCATACACATAAAATGAAAATAAATAAATTATCTTTTAGATTTTTTTAAAGCGTGTGTGCACATGAATTGCAGGTGCCCTTGGAGGTCAGAGGCATCAGATCCTCCTGGAGTTAGTTAAAGGCAGTTGTGAGCTGCTTGATATGAGTGTTGGGAACTGAAAACAGGTCCTCTGCAAGAGCACTATATACTCTCTCTTCAGCCCCTTAACTTACTTTTTTCTCAGTTTTGTACATTTATATAATGAATTTTAGTCATTTCCACCCCCACTACCCCCACCCGACCCCGTTCCCCTCTGCAATCCTTCTCCCTCTTGCTGGAGCCCACCTTCCCAACAATCCCCCTCCTGCTTTTCACGTTTTCTTTCTCTATGTGGCCTACTGAGTTCAATTAACATTGTGTGGTGGTTTGAACGAGACTGTTCCCCATAGGCTCCAGGTATTGGAATACTTGACCCCAGTCGGTGGCATTGTTTGTGGAGGTTTAGGAGGTGTGACCTTGCTGAAGGAAGCACACTTGGATGGGCTTGGAGCATTCATAGCAGAGTCCCATTTCTAGTTTCTCTCTGTTTCCTATATGCTGGAAGACATGAGCACTCAGCTTTCCCCTCTGGCTGCCTCCTGCCACCATGCCTCCCTGCCATGATGGACTCTTACCCTCTGGAACCATAAGCCAATTAAACTCTTCCTTCTATAAGTTGCCTTGGTCATGGTGTTTTATCACAACATTTCTATAACTAATACCAGTTACTTATAGGTGCATAGGTGAGGGGTTACTTACAGGAGCATGGGCAATTTACCAGTGGCTACACCTCCAAAGAAAATGACACTCTTTCCAGAAATCATTTATTGCCAATAGTCCCTCAGAAAGGAGCAGAGCCTAATGGACCCCTCTCCCATTCATGATGAATTTAACATGAGGTCTGTCTATCCCTAATCACACCTTGGAAATATTAACATGTGGTGCCAGGCAGCATATCTCAAAAGACCAAAAATGAAAAAGTTTTAAAGGTGGTCCATGTGTGGTAGCACACACCTTTAATCCCAGTACCCAATACCCAGGAGACAGAGGCAGTCAGCTCTCTGCGAGTTGAAGGATGGCCTGCTCTACATAGAAAGTTTCAGACTGACCAGAACTGCATATTACCACCCTGTCCCAAAAAAACCAAAAGAATGAGGACTGGAGAAATAACTTAGCATTTAAGAGCACCAGCTGCTCTTTCAGAGAACCTGAATTCTGTTCCCAGCACCCACATGGCAGCTAACAACCAATTATAACTCCAGTTCCAGGGGATCCAATGCCCTTATCAGGTCTCCACCAGTTTGCACACAGGTGATTCACTTACATGCAGGCAAAACATTCAAACATATAAAAATAGTTTTTAAAAACCTAAAGGAAGAAAAAGTTTTAAAGGTGAGCGGGTGCCTGAGTAACCACAGAGGCTTTCCTCTAGCCTCCACATGCACATGCATACACATGCATGTGCACCCACACGTGAACATCCACATATCCACACAAATATTTAAAAGAGAAATGGAGACCAAGCTCTGAAGAGAAGACCCCAGCACCTAGCAATACAGCTGCAATGATCAAGCCACAGAGGTGGCTGCACCCAGCATCAGCTCCAGCCCTGCCCAGTACTGTGATTGGTCATGGGTCCCTGCCAGCAGGAATTGAGGCACAGGAAATGGAGAGGAAGGAAAGGAGTTGGGATGGGGCTCCAGTGAGGTGCCTACATTTATATCTCTCATCAAGGCTGGGTTCAAGCACCACCATGGATGCTAATGGATACAGCAAGTTGGGCAGTGCCACGAAGGAGGTCACTGGAGGTACAGGCAACGGGAACGCCTCATGGGTCTACTTGTGTCCCTACGTTCTAGTGTCTGGGTTTTGACTGGGGGAGAGAAGAAGAGACAAGAGAGAGGATGCCGGAGATGCTAAGATGTAGGCAAAAAGTGCAGAACAGTGAAACCAGCACTCCTAGGTATGGGGGTGTCTGAGACTTAGAGGTAGAGTGGATAGTGGATGGGTGAGCACTCCCCAGGGCCCTGGATTGGGAAATGGTGTGTCTGAGGTTCCCCCCCACCAACCCAGGTAAGCCTTGCTGGGGAGAAGGGCTGTCACTCCAGTCATAGACCCAATTAGACTGGCATAATTCTAAGTCTGTCACTTGAGTCATTTAGTTGGGAAACTATTTAGCCTGTGTGGACTTCAGTCCTGGGGGCCTCAGGAACCTATCTGTGTTCTGCTAGGGCACTGGGGACGCTGGGAGTCCTGCAAACAAAGGCTTTTCTTTCTGGCCCTGGCTGTCCTGGTGGTCACAGTGCTGTGGGCTCTCATTCTGAGCGCCCTGTTGTCCAAGGGTGAGTGATCTTTTTATTTGTCTGTGTGTGTGTGTGTGTGTGTGTGTGTGTGTCCATGAGTGCAGGTGCATACCTATGCCAGAAGAAGCTGGATCCCCTGAAGTTGGAGGTACAGGTGGTTGTGAGCTGCCCTAGGTGGGTGCTCTGCCAGAGCAGTCCATCCTCTTAACCTCTGAGCCATCTCTCCAGCCTCTGTGAGTGATCTTTTGATGAGGACAGATTGTAAACTGCCTGGAAGGTGCAAACCTACCTGCTCCATGGTGCACCACCAGCTAGGGCCTTGGTCCGTCACCCCAGTCTGAATGTCAACAGGATGTGTCTGTCTTCCAGCTGTGTGTATGCATTATACATGTGTGTGCCCTGTATGCCTGACCTGTGCCTCAGTCGGTACCAAGACACGGGTCCTGGGCAAGGGAAGGGTTTCCAGCTCCCTGGTGCTGCACCCATAGGAGCTTCTCTCTGCAGGCTCCACAGAACGCAGGACACTGCGCCATTACCACAGCCTGCTGAAAACTAACGGTGAGTGAAGAGCTGTAGCGCCAGCGCCCCCTGGCGGTGGGAGGAGAGACTGGTGTGATTCTGAGACTGGGTGGGGAGTGAACGGGTGCTGACTCTGGAGACCGGGTGTCCCCTGAGTCCCGCTAATGGCCCGGCGTGTGTGGCGGGGGTGGGCGGTCATTGCAGTGTCGGAGCAGAAGGTGCTGCTGGGTGCCTTGAAGGAGGAAGTTGGAGCCTGCAAGAGCTGCTGTGAGAAATGGGCTTGGAGGAGGCTTGAGGGCTGCGAGATTGGGAACTGGGGGAGATGGGTTGGGAGGGACAAGTTGGGGCGGGGCTGGCTGTCCTCAGAAGCTCTGCCCCACCCCTCTGTGCCTTTCCTAGGCTCAGAGACCAAAGCGCAGCTGCAAACCACACTCACGGAGCTTAAAGAGACGCAGGCAAAACTGATGGAGCAGGAGAGCACACTTAAGGAACTGCGGGAGCATGGTGAGTGCAGGATCTAACGACGACCCCCTGGAGTCCTGGTCACCATTGTGATCCCATCCTGCCTCCGTCCTGGCCCTGATCCCTGACCTTCACTACAACTCCTAACCACACCCACATCTGGACCTTCTTCATTAGTACAATCCATGGCCCTCTCATCACTGGTGTCATTTTATCTTTCACTACTGAGGACTGAACCCTGGGGTTTCACACATGCTAGGAAGGTGCTCTACCACTAAGATACCCCCAGACCCTCACTGGAAGTGGTTCTTGGCAGGGGCTCTACCACTGAGTCACACCCCTAGCCCCTCACTGTGGGATTCTAGGCAGGAGCTCCACCACTGAGCTGCATCCCCAGCCTCTCACTGGGAGATTCTAGGAAGGTGCTCTACCCCGAGCCACCCCCAGACCCTCACTGGGGGGTTCTTGGCAGGGGCTTTACCACTGAGTCACACTCCCAGTCCCTCGCTGTAGGATTGTAGGCAGAAGCTCTACCACTGAGCCACATCTCCAGCCCCTAATGGGGAATATAAGCAGGGACTACACCACTGAGCTATGTCCCCTCACTGGAAGATACTAGGCAGCTAAACCATGAAGCAACACCCTCAGGACTTTGCTGGGGAATCCTAGACAGGAGTTTTACCACAGAGCCATGCCCCTAGCCCCTAATGGGAGATTTTAGGCAGGAGCTATACTACTGAGCCATGCTCCCTCACCGAGGAATACTAGGCAGGAGCTAGGGGATACCACTTAGTCATATCCACAGTTCCTCACAGTTCCTCACTGGTTGGGGGGATCTAAGGAGGCACTCTATTGCCAAGCCACCTCCCTATCCCCTAACTGGGGGTTCTAGGCAGGTGCTCTACCACCAAGCTTTATCCCCAGAACTCGTTTTACATTTTATTCTGAGACAGAGTCTCACTAAATTGCTCAGGCTGGCCTTGAACTCTTTTTGTATCTCAGGCTAGCCTTGAACTTGTACTCCTCCTCTGCCTCAGTCTACCAAGTACCTGAGATTACAGACCTGCACCACGACACTCAGCCTAAAGTAATTCTTGATTCTAACACCAACAACGGGACATAGAGCTTGACCTAGACCTAAGTCCCAATCTTAATCCCAGCTATTAAAATCCATCATTTTACTCTATAGTGACCCAAGGCTTGGCTGAAGCAGGCAGAGATCGAGAGGATGTCCGCAATGAGCTGTTCCGAGCACTAGATGCTGTCAAGCACCAGAACAGTGAGCTAGAGAGGAAACATAGAGGGTGGGCAAGTGCACCCTGCCCAGAGGTTTCAAGCCTTCCCCAATCCACCAAGGCCCATCCTCCAGACTTTGGTTTCTCTTGCTCCTGCCCAGGGTCAGGGATCCAAAACTCTCCCTTGTACTCCCCTGACCCAATTTCATAACAATCCACCTCTCTGACCCTCACCACCCCACAGGCTCTTGCGAGCAATGCCCTGCATCGTGGCTTCCTTTCCAAGGCTCTTGTTACTATTTCTCTGAGTCACAGGCCACATGGGAGGCAGCACAGAGCCACTGCGCAGGCCACAGCGCCCACTTGGTGATTGTCGGGGGCCTGGATGAGCAGGTGCACAGCTGGGACTTGGAGGAGTAAAAGCAGTATTCACCCACGCTGCTGTGGCCCAGGAAGTGGGACAGGGCCAACTGACCTGGCATCTCCCCTCCCTTCCAGGGCTTTCTGACTCGACACACACGTAGCCGTGGTTATTGGCTGGGTCTGAGGGCCGTTCGCCATCTCCGAAAAATTCAAGGGTACCAGTGGGAGGATGGAGTCTCACTTACCTTCAGGTGAGGAGAAGGTTCCAAGAGAGACTCAAGGCTGGGTATGGTGATGCACACCTTTAATCTCAGCACTTAGGAGGCAGAGGCAGGTGAATCTCACAGAGGAGGCCAGCCTGGTCTACATAGTGAGTTCCAGGCCAGCTAAGGCTGCAGGGAGACCCTGTCTCAAAAAAAAAAAAAAAGGAGGAAAGAAAAGTGAAGGAAGAGGGACTTGGGG